TCAAGGCTGGGGCACTGTTCCCTCATTCATTCCCATAAATAACCTATTCAATTGCTAAATGACAGACAGGACGCACAACAAACAGGCTGATGTCACTGCTCTTTTCTTCGTCCGCTTTAATCAGCAGGCGTCCCCCCCTTTCCCTGGTGTAGAATAATAATTCAGGAATATCGGAGTGACAATGCGTCACCTTTTTCCAAAGTAAGAAGCCATGTGAAGGGCAGGTCATCTGTCAGCGCTGACGACAGCCAAAATACAGCGTGGTGTGCGAGAGCTCACCGAGACGGCGGAACCCACTTTCTGTCCTTCATGTTGGAGTAGCTTACAACTCACTCCATGAAAGGTGACCACACTCTCTTAAAGAAAGTCTAGAGATTTATTTAATCATTTTCGCTTAAAACAGCAAGGCACAGTGAAGATCCTACTGTCAGAAACTCAAAAGTCTGTTTTGTTTAAAGGTGAATTAATACAAGTCTTTGTTCCCAGCAATTGTGTTTCTTTTTTCAAAATAAAGGTCTGGTTTGCCACAGACATCACCAAACTTGACAAGCAAAATGCCCAATTGACAACGAAAAGAACCAGCTACCGAAGGATGTAATGGCATAGGTTTGTAGAGACCAAACCAGCATCGAATTTTAGTGGGGACAGATGTAAGGGCTTTAAAAGAAAGGAAGGCATCTGATCGAGGATCAGTAGTTTTGATGGAGATAACTGTAAAATGTATTTACTGCAAATATTTTTTAAACTTATTAAATTCACATTCTAGTGACTAATAAGTCCCAATATAAACTGTAGATTTTAGGCTCTAGGTATGTATAATCTAGTATTGTCTAGTTAAATGAAGAGATGCAAAATGACTGACTTGAAAAGTGCTTAAGAATATGGTCACACACTGTCAAATATGTTGGGAATTATTTTCCATGCAACCGTCCAGATACAATTGTATTAAAATTTGAGCAACTGTTTTTGTTTGTAGCTCTCAGGTCCCTGTTTTGTTGTCTCACGGTGAAGCCAAGAAACCCAACGGAAAACAAGTAAGTTGTCCTTGAAGGCGCTGGAATAAATGTAGAAACTTTTCTGAAGATGTTGGAGTAGGGAGCTGCAGCAGCATGATTAAGCATCCAATGAACAAGTAAGGGTTCAGGCCATGCCAAGGCAGAAGGCAAAGCAAAGAAACAGTACATTTCAGCTGTAGTGTCTTCTTCAGTCACACCCGGAGAAGGCTCCAAAGCTGAAACCTACTTTTCTTTACCTTTCAGTGTGGAATTAATGTTTGCCTGTTCCTTGTAGGAAATTGCTCTCTATCTACCACTTAGCCTGCAAGATGCTTGTTTGCTTCCAGAATATTAATTGCTGATACAGATCTCCACTCTTTGAAACATCCGGGCAATCTAATGCTTATCGGGAAATTGTATACCTGGATAGAAGCCTGATTTGAAGAAGAGTGATTGGGGATATCGGGACAGAGGGTACTGTACACATCTCCATCGGGCCTGAGAATTCAATTGGCTCAATGGAGGCGTCTTGAGCAATAGTATTAAAATGCAGGTAAGGCATGTGCTCTAATTCAAGGGTTCCTAAGGGTTGTATAATCCTGGAGGAGCACACAGTTGCTGGTTTTCATTCCAGATTACCTAACTGAAGCCAATTATGGTTTCAATTGTAGAACTTGAGAGCCCAGCTGCAACAAAAACCATCAGCTGTGTTGCTCTCTAGAAGGTGTGGGAACCCCAGACTTCACTCACTCATCACCCAAAAGCATGTGGAAATCCCCACATCATGACCTCAGGCTTCGGATGTTAAAACCAAGGTAAAAAAGTCAAAGCACTGCTTAATGAAAGGTACATTGACCAGCAATACTAACAAATATATAGCTATTTGATCTCTCAAAAAACAGATCCTTGGATAAGTTAGGTGCTGCTTAAGTAACCAAGTGAGCAAGACAAGCTAAAAAGGCTCCTGTTTCCACAACCTTTGTTTTTTAGCAATTCAGTCCTTACAAAACTAAGACCCAGTGAATCTCAATTTCATCTTATAGTTGGAACCCTCTGCCTGGTCACTAAATATACAAGCATATTTCTTTTAGCACAGACCGCTATCCAAAGCTCCCTGCCTCTCGCAATCCCAGCCTGGCCATCTGTCGAGGGTAATAATACGGACTGCTTAATTGTGCCACCCAGTTCACAACACACACCATTAACTGGTAATAAAATGGGGTCTCTCTGGTTCATTGATTGTTTATATGGGCCCATTAATGGCAGGGGGAATCAGGCAGATGTCACATCTATCAATTTGTTTGTCGTATAATAACATTTTACTGTAAAAAAAAAAAACAGAAGCAAAACATGCTCATCGAAATGGCCCAAAACAAGTCATTGATTAAACTCCCACTTTCCAGTTCATTAATTGATATCCTAAGTATTGTACTTTTTGTTCAAGTGCTTCTCTATAAAACACCTTTTGACATTTTTGTCACTTTTTGGCGGGGAGGGTGTATTTTCTCTCTGTAAACCCTTTGACTGTCTTTCTGCATCTAACATTAAGCCCTTTATTCACAATGCCCTATATTACAGAGATTCCCCTAGGTTGTACTTGGTTGTATTCCTTTGCAGAAAGTCTTCTTATGGAAGACTAGGTCATGTTGCCTGGATGATCAAATGCTATTTTACATTAACATAAATGTTAACAGGTTTACTTAGCTTGTTTCCTTTTTGTGTATGAACCTTCACTTTTTCCAACTTCTGTCTTTGTGAAATCATGGAAACGTCTTGTGTTCATTTTCTGGTCTAACTTAAACAACAGACATTCAATAACAGAAGCAACACTTAATGCTTAGGAGCTGATGAAAACTAATCCGTTAGTATATACAAACTTAAGTTTACATGACATTAGTAACAAATTGCCTTAACGAAACTACAGCAAAACAAACAGTCCATAATTTTGTTTTCTGGAGCACCATCATGATTTTGGAATAATAAATTCCGTTCTGTGAATGTCTGTCCGAATGCAATATACTGAAATCTTGAAACTGTCAGATTGATCACAGTTTTCATCTACTCGATGAAGGGGAAAAAAAATACACTAAACCAGTGGTTCTCAAAGTGTGGTCCGTGGACCACTGGTGGTCCGCGAGCATGTGCCAGGTGGCTGACCTAGTCAACTTTCTTAAAGCAAGTCTAAGCAGCTCCATTCTTCACATTAACTTTTTAAGTAATAAAAACATTTGCAAAATATGCAATTTTGTTTGTAAAAATATCAGTACTTTCATAAAAAATTGAATTCAATATTAATATTATTACATTAACAGGTGATGCTTTTTACAGGGTAAGAAGTGGACGTAGGCATAGGCGGTACACCACATCTGTGACTTGGTGTAAGTGGTCTGCAGACCATAGAACTTAAGAGAACCACTGCACTAAACCATTTGTGGTTGCTTTTCTCTTATGGATTTACAGATATGCATACAAAAACTCATCTCGGGTAAAGCTTCATCCAAGCACTGTCAACCATAGTACCTGTTCTTCTGTATTCCTAAGGAATGTTGTCCTATATTCCGAGTGATGAAGCACTTGACAGCAGGAAGGCAATCAGGTATGGGGAGCAGATTGATTGGCTGATGCCAGTGCAAAGCCACACCCCCCCAACTATAAATTACCTGCCTGTTTGCAGGCACAGATATTTCTTCTGATGTCAGCCCTACATTATCATATTTAATCGCCCCCTGTAACCTGCGCTAAATGGAGAAGGGATTGAAACTGCCACCAGTTGTTCTCTGTAAACCATGATTTACACTGCAAACAAGTGGCAAGGCAAGAATTGATGGCCCTGTTTATTAAGTGCTTACATAGTGCAGGCTTTTGTTTTATTAAATAAAACGTTATTTATTGTAATCCGTAAAGATGCCAGGTGTGTGCATATAGGTTGTGTGAGTAAAAGGTATATCTTGATGACAAACTGTCTTTGGTCATTTGCATTTATGCTAGGATATAAATTAATTTTGACATTAACCTAAAAGTTTAAGACCTCAAGACATGTGGTTAAAAATAAACCTGGCCATTGAGATTTTGTATATATAGACACACTTAAAATCGATGCTTCTCCAACATGAGCATTTTTCAGTTTTAATTTGAAATGAACAAATAACAGTAAGCTTGGTCCCCATTTAACAGTTTCTTCTTGTTGAGCTCACACCTTCCTTCACATGGTCTTCCATGGCAAAGGCAACACCCAATTCCAGTAGGAAAGAGGGGGTGGGGGGTGGTAATTATATACTCTGGGGGTCTAGGAAGTGACTGCTACAGCTGGTTATTTCTACATTGAAAAGCATTTTCTTTTTAAGTTCTCCTGATCACAACGTTTCAAGTTTCAAAGCAGGCCTGTCCAATCCTGGTCCTGGAGAGCTGGTGCAACTGCAGGTTTAGGAGATCCCTTCAGAGCACATGAAGATCTGGGAGAAGTGAAGATGGTCACAGTAAGCCAGTTTTAAGCAGGAGTGAAAACCTAAAGAAGACACAATCGCTCTCCAGGCCCAGGAATGCACACCCCTGGTTTAAAGGAACTACACACAGTCCCATATCAATGGTCCCATTACTATTTCCATTTCAGCTGACCCTTGCAGCCACCCAACCTGCCTTTAAATATTTTATCGTGACAAAAGAAGAGCAGAATAAAACGCCTATTTATTAGATCATGGGTTTTCCTGCTGTTCCTCCTTGCACCTTGTATATGTGTGTGGGGGGGATTCCCTCGAAGTCCACAGCAGTATTGAGCTTCAAAACTTCAATTCTACCAGCTGAGAAATCTTTTCACCTTAACCAGAGAATAACCACTTGCCTGGATCCCAGCCAGCCACAATACAATGGGCTGAAAACTACCTCCATTTAGTCTCCAGTGGACTGTTCTGTGCACTATGTGAGAAGACATGACCCCAGGAAACCTAATGCAAACAACAGTACAAAATGTCTTTTGGTTACCAGTCAGCAAACAAAGAGAGGCAAAAAGAAATTAAAGACATTTGTATTTGAGCTGTGGTTCGTGCAGGGCAAAAGCAGAGCCCCAAACAACTGGCCAGTTCATCATTATAATTCATCAATATAAGATTAGCAGTTTTATCACATGACAACTCAGTCACCAGCTCCTCCCAGCTCCCCTCTCCCACCCAGACAATATTCCAAAACAGGTTAAAAGCATTACCAACCTTGTACAAAATGAATAATAAACAGGGTACAGTGTAAATATATATTCATATTTATACATTTCTAACTATATTTACAAAATGGCATGTCTCTGGAATGCACTGATCATCTGCAAAAGCAAAAAAAAAAAGTTTGGCCATTTCCTTGCAGATAGATTACATTACAGATTTGGTTTGCAAAGCCAAACTTATCTCTTTATTAGAAAAACACAGCATTGGAAAAAAAAATCAATCTTTTCTCCGCACCTTGCTGAGATCCGCAAGTATCTTGCATTTTATTTTCAGTCCAAAAGGTGCTCCCCCCTTCTCCCTCAAATCTCCCAGAAAAAGAAAGCGCACAGCTGAGGGACAGCGGTGTGAATGAGCCTTTCAAATCCACCAGGGCAGTCCTTCAGCTCTGAACAGTCCGCACCAAGCCCCAGAGACGCGCTGACCCCAACTGCAGATTTTGAAACGGTTCACGATCCTGTACCTCTGTGTTCAAACATGTAAAACGTTAAAATCCAAAAATTATGTCCCTCCCACTTCAGTACCTACAAGAGGAAGCCCAGGACAGGGCGAGATAAAAGCTGAGCTCTTTTTGTCTCTCAGTCTGTCAGACAGCACAGCCGGACAGGAGATGGGAAGGAGAGGGAGATTGTAGGAAGGTCAGCGTTTCTTGAAGGCCACTCCATTGGGGTGGGGGGGGAATTTGGGCAGGCAGGGCTCCTCAGCCCCACCCTCGTGGGAGAAGACTGAATCCTCACCGGAGGAGCAGGTGGAACTGCGGGTGTCTGGGTAGCTGGGGGAGTACTGGTCCAGAGGCACCGAGAGATCCAGGTACTCCTGTCAGAGAGAAGGAGCAGACAGGTGAGACAGTGCATCTCCATTTTTACATCCCACATGTCTTTACATTGCACAAATTATAGCACTGTGCTAAAACATGAGATTGGTTTGCAATGGGTTCATGTAAAAACACGGGCCGGTGGTATTCAATTGTGCTACACAGCAAGCCAACCACACAACCAAAACTGGGGAAATCTGTTAAAGGGATCCATTAATTTAAATCGGTGGAACTGGACAGGTAAGACATAAGCTATAGGCCCTGCAGAACCAGGAGTTGACAGCCCCTAGTGTAGATTGCTTTGTTACAGGCTTGTACAGTATGGTACTATGTGTTGTGTGTTGTCACTTTGAGAATTCAATAACAATCCAGTGGAGACCTTTCAGCTAATCTTCCTTATTATTGCTAAATGAACAATTTCTGACTAGTTTGCTCCTTGTTATCCAACATCTCATTATTGTGCACCAGCCTTCTGTGCATGGGGAGCTGTGTTCTGGCACATGGTTGGTGGCTGGGGCAAGGTCTTCACTCACCTGGTTGGAAGTCATGGCTAGGGTGCGATCCAGGTCCTCAACCAGCTGTTTGAAAGTGGGCCTCTGGGAGGGCACAGCATGCCAGCAGTCCCTCATCATCATGTACCTGTGCACACAGCATTGACAGGCAGGGCTCTTATCCATTTTTACACCAGATCTATGTGCAGGAATACTTTCACTGTCTGATTATGATCATAATGCAGAAAATTTTGTCAGCTACATAATACTATCCTTCTAATTTTTAGAGGGGAAGATAATTGTAATAAACAGTCGCCTAGCCAGGGCTTACAATTCATGGGTACAGGTGGAGGGTTTATCCATGCGGTGCCCCTCCTTTAACAGCTTAAAGAGCTCCTCAACTGGAACCCCAGGGTACGGTGAGCCTCCCAAGGTGAAGATCTCCCAGAGAAGTACGCCAAAGGACCACCTGCAAAATAGACCCACTCTTACTATTGGACTAAGCCACACCATCTGCAATCTGGTACACGATTCCTTTTAACTACCCAGATCATTAACCTGTATGTACAGCTGCACAGTTACATTGTCCACAACCAGCCCAAATCTCAAGTCAACTTCTCAGAGAGGTGAACAACCCCCTTTTACTGCAGAGGGGGGGGTGTTGGTGGTGAGGGGAGCTGCTAAATTGTGAACGAGAAATGAAACAAAGACCGTTGGTACCATACTCACACGTCACTCTGGTGTGTGTATATCCTGTCAAATAAGGCTTCTGGAGCCATCCACTTCACTGGCAAGCGACCCTACAGGGAAAGAGAGCTCGTCCATTACTCAGTGAAGCAGCCAAATCTATTGTTTTATATTTTAAAAAGTGTTTTACATTCGAACAGGGTTTGTCATCTCCTGTCCTCTGCGTCTGCTGTGCTCTTATCCAGCTAACAGTTAAGCATTCTGTCTGCCAGGATGTGAAGATGGAGAAAGCCTGCTTTGAAATCACACCCATCCAACGCACAGGTTAGCTTGGGTCACACTAACGCTTCTCAAAATAACTGTTTGATTAGACCTTTATCATCAATGGGATGAGTTTGACAGATGTCTTATACAGGACAACTGAGCAAAGGGGTAACAGGAGAATGAAGTCTTGCCCTTGAAGGACATGACCCAGCATAATTAATAAGAATTTTTAAATGTTTAATACCATAGAACCTGGGAAAATAAAGGGCTTAGGTGTTTCAATGAAGTTGTTAAAGGATGCCAATCATATAATAAAGAGCTCATTTGCAAAGAACACAAGATAACTCCATCGACCTAGTTACCCTTGAAATCCAGAGCCAAGGAGTTATGATGTGGAGGATTCCTTTCTTTAACAGAAGCTTTCAAAGCAATTGGCATGGTCTAGCAGTACTCACATTAGTGGTCTTCTTGTAGTAGTCAATGTGGTGGATATCTCGTGCCAGGCCAAAGTCCGCAATCTTCATTACGTTGTCTTCTGTGACCAGGACGTTTCGGGCTGCCAGGTCCCTGTGAATACACTGGAAGACACCACTTGGATCAGCTCTACTGCTCGCACAGGGCATGCCTGCAGTGTACTACAGTACATTTACATGATCTGCAAGGTCACTTCACATTTCTGTTAAGTCACTCTAACAGGACTCAAACACTTTTTTTAATATAATACTATAATATTATTACTAATAATATTTACTATATTTCTAAGTTCTCTGCCACTCTTAACTCTAGGAAGTTTAAGCTGAGTCATGATCTTAGTAGGGAGCCACTCTGTGACACTTCTTACCCCATTAAGAAGCACACGTTTAAGAATGCCCTGTGCTGGTCTCCAGGGCCTGTTTGCATGAAACCCTGTATGTTTTAAACCCCTGAAACATAAAGATGAACCTGGACACTAGATGTTGAACTGAATGTGTTGACCCACCATGAACAGTAGGTGTGGTACGCAACACAGCTTAAGGACAAAATTAGAGGTTCAGGCACTCCATGACTTTAGGATCATCCTTTGCTGATAAGATATACAAGAGGGGAAAACCAGTTGTAACACAAGCAGGAGCGTGGGTGGGGTTAAAAGGTCTCACCTTCTTGGAAGAAAGGTACTCCATGCCCCGGGCCACCTGGTAGGCACATGAGACCAGATCCTTGATGGACATGTGCTCCACAGGTACCTGGTCTGGGTTATAGCAATACTCCATGCCAGGGGGGCGTCGTGCCCGCAGGTACTCGCGCAGATTGCCCTTGGAGGCGTACTCCACGATGACATACAGAGGACCTGGACAGGAGGGCGGAAAGAGATGCAGAGTACCAACGTTACAACGTGGTAAAAGATAGCTTTACGTTGGTTTTCCACTGCCATTTCAATTCTCAGGGTTGCATTCTCCTGCACTTTTATCATTCTACAGTTCTTTACAAGAGGAACACCAGCCTCTTAAGTTAAAGACTGTAAAAGGATTGTATAACATCAACCACAGACAGCATGGAGGTGAACGGTTTACAGAGGAGAAAAAGGGCCCAGCTTTATGAAAATCGGTCTCAAAGGGACACGGTGCTTTTGTTGATCCTCGGCTCTGCTAGATTAGTGGGAATTGCAGCACCACTAATAAATGAATAGGAATTTGTTATTCTAAAAGCAGGTGACACAGTTAACATAAAAGTTAACAGGAAATGTTTTAACTTTGCGCTGAGGACAAAAACACCTCCCCCTCCCTCCAACAGTACCCCAGGGCGATTTCTTATTTCACCTTTTGAGGCAGTCAATCGTTAAATCCAATTACAGAAGCCTTGTACCAGGCAGAAGTGCGATCAGCAGGTTCAGACTAGAGAAACCAGTGCTTTAAATTAAATGTTTAAAAGAAAAGGGCCCTTTCTGAGGAACTCGATGAGTTCAACAGGCAGTGAGGTGCATAACCATTAGGAAACAGCTGAAGCAATAACCCAGCTTTCACGTCTTTCAGCAGATCTAATACACACAACCAAGGGAGAGCGGCACTGCCAGAAGCTAATGTTTTTACAAGACATACAGCACTGCCAATGACTGTCAATGAACGTTTGAAAGATAGTGCAACTTTTGTAACAGCTGCAGCCATCTCAGACTACGAGTTCCAAGACCCATATTAGCACACCCATTCAGATAAAATATTTCACTGTTTTCTAAAGCCCCATTTGCTTGTTTTCAACTCCTGTTCTAGACCACTTTATCTTTCATGGTGCCCCTTTTCTGTCTCCTGTCACTTCTTCTTGGTGTCTTTGTATGGAACTGAGTGGGTTTGCTGAAAACTGATGTTCCCGTTTTCAAATGTCTAGCAAGCTATTGCTAAGCTAAGCTCCCAATTAAAAAATTACATTGAAGAGAATGAGAGTGACACTTAGACTGGCAAATAACATCTAGAGGTGCTGTCCAAAAGCCTTGCTGTTCCTTCACAGGGGAACCCCCCTAACCCCCACAATAACTTCTCCACACACCGCTTCCAATCTGCTTGTCAGCTATAAACAGCTCAAGCTCTGCTTCTTCTGCTTTAAAGGAACAGGTAAAGGTTTATTCCATGCTGAAAAGAAAAAGAATGTTTTAGCTATGGAGCCTTCAGGTAGTCTCCACAGCCGATGCATTGTATCTTTTCTTTTCAGCATGGAATAAATCTTTACTTGTTCCTTTGCAACCTACACATGCAAACGCAGCTACCTCCTTGAACGTCTGCTTTATCCTCTCTATCTTCATTTTTCTTCCCAACTCTTTGGTTTCTGTCACATCCCTCTTTCCATTTCCTCCTCCTGTCTTCTCTCCTACCTGTACCTCTAGCCCATTTCTGCTCATGCGTCTCAATTTCGCAGTCACTCTCTTAGATATGGTTTCATCCCTCTATAACAGGAATCTGGAACACGACTATTGACTATTTTTCCACCTGAGATCCCAGTTAAATAGCTGGCACAGATATGTAACTTGTTTTAGAATAAAAAGCAAAAGATCAGGAACTGATCATATCATTGCACTCCCTGAAAGCTGGTCTATTTTTCCATTTCTATTTCCCTCCCACACCCTCTCACCATCTTGTGTGCAGGCACCCAGCAGGTTGATGATGTTCTTGTGCTTGCCAATTATCTTCATCATCTCCATCTCTGAGATCAGGTCTGACAGATCCTTCTCAGTTGCATCGGCTGGAAGAAAAGAGATGGCCAACGTGAGCTACCATTTCTGGGACTTTGAATGAAAATACAATGCAGACAAAAGGCCTTTATTACAGAAATTATATTTTCAGTGTTAGAAGAAGAAAGGTTATTTATCAGAGGGGCCACTTCAGCATATCTTGTCAATTTTGTTTTTAGTAGCTAATTTATCCAAGGATCTCATCCAGAAGCCTTTTGTTGTCAGGTTTAAATGCATTTCCCCTTGACGTGTGTCCATTAACTCACATTTTACTGTTCATTCTAAAGAAGTCCATAGGGTTGACCTTGTCAATGCCTGGGATGGGATCTGATTCAAGTATTCAGATACATCGGAGTAGATGGGGCTATATTATGCAAAATTAGATGCATTCCTAGAAGGCTATTCTAAACTTAGAATTTCTTGGAAGAAAGTGTTTCGGATACTTTTTCCCCTAGAGATTGGAAACTTTACCCCATCAACTTCTCATATGCAGTACATATCTCATATGAAATACTGCAGTTTCATATGCCAATACAAATCGATGAGTTCTGTAAAGACCAATGCCAACAATCTTTCAAAAAATGCAATGCATTTTAATCCCCATGGCTTTACTTTTGCAATTGACCATTTTCAATGTATTGAAATGATGATGAAAATGTCAAGCCAACTGGATAGAAATCACTGTAATTCACAATCCTCAAAAGCATAGGTCTGAGTTCATATACTTAAGAGAAGGACACACCCCCCAGTCCCAGCCCCTCCCCTCACTCACGCTTTAACATCTTCACAGCCACTTTGGTCACTCTGTTGGGCTTCTCCTTGTCCAAGCCCAGTGCCTCACCCATCACCACCTGGCCAAAACAGCCCTCGCCTAAGGGCTTGCCCAGGACCAGCCTGCAGGACAGAAAGGTCAGAAAGTGTGAACAGAAATCACCAGAAGTTGGAGACGTAGCATGAGAGAGTCATTCTTTCACAGAGCCTAATGCTTTTTGCTTGCAAGCAGTTTGGCTGCAAGCAGCTGGGAGTCTGCATCCAACCATCTAGCATATTTCACATTAAAAAAAGAGGATTCCTGTACATTCCTCGTACTGGAAGCATGTCCGTGCATTCTTATTAGTATTGATGTGGTCACTTCGCACTGCAGAACATTTGAGTGTTTTATCAATCTCCATATCTACATGCCACCATTCACTCTGCCTCTTTGTATGTCACTCCTAAGACACTTCTAAGTGCGCAGCTGTGGTGCGCAAACCCAGGTTGGTCGGGAGTACCTGTCACGGGACAGCTCCCAGCGAGGGTCCTGGGGCAGTTCATACTCCGAGACCCCCGACAGCATGGGCGTCCCACTCGAGGACAAGCGAGAGGGGCGCACCAACATCACCCCTGAGTGGAAGGAGGAGCTGGAGTCCACTGACACCTGCAGAGAGAGAGCACGGTTACTGTCTGACAGAGGGGGACGAGAGCGAGAGAACGGGTGACAAAAGGACTGGAAGTGAAAGACAGAACAAAGTAAATCTGATAGATGAAACAGCCATCTTCTGCTCTTCTTACTAGGAAGGAGAGGAAAAGGACCAACTGAGGGATGAGTAGGTACCTTTTGATTACAGACGGCTCTTTCACCACAACAAAAAGGGAGCATAACTCTGTATTATGTTTCAGTCATGGTTTGAAGACTTTCGGTTACTGAGGGTTTAGGTTCGTGGCACCTCCAATTTACCTCAATGGGACGGGTTTAGTGGAGGTTAGTGTACAGTTTAGGTCACACCCATGAAACGCATGGGGAATATCAATGAGGAATAAGCGACCGTTGGGACACTGGGATACATTAGCGATCTTGACCGAGATGCACAGAGAAAGGGATACCCTGCCTGACTGACATTATCCGCTAAGAGCAAGAGTCCATCTGCCAGGATCAGGGCATCACTGCATTGATTTTAAGTGCAAAAAAGACAACAGCAAATTTCAATCTGAGGTTTAAACATCCATTTTTATCTTCAGTTGATAACGCCACAGAGTGGGATACCATAGTCAAGCTACAGTACACCAACTGCTCATTACTTTTGGCAATGCACATTTGTGAACCAAGTGGTCCAAAGAGCATAGTAGAAACGTGATATTTCAGATAAATAATCCAATACCATGTTCTTGACAAGTGGCACCAACCTAAAGAACTCAACAGCACTGAATGCTTGGTTGCAACAGTGAAGGGGTCTGGTGGATCTGAAATAATGTGGGGCTGATTTTCCAGGTATTAAATAGGTGCACTAACTCCCTTACAAGGGAAAGTCAATGTTAATTGCTACTTAAAGGTACTAAGTGATCATTTTCAACCAATGTAGCAGCATTACTTTCCTGCTGAGATGGGTGTCTTCAAGATGACTACGTCCCCACACAGAACACATGGGGTTACCCAAAGGTATGAAGAACATGACACTGTTATCCATATGTCATGGCCTTCTCAGTCACCAGATCAAGTGCTGGCTGAGTACTAACAGGACATTCTGAAACAATGCCAGAGACAGCATGTCGCACTCTATCAACTAGGAATAAATTAACTGACTTCCTCATGAAGAATGGTGCTGCATCTCTCCTTTGGCGTTTTAGACACTGGTCGACTCGACGCCACAGTGCCTACGGACTCTATTGACTACTGCAACTTTTCACTGACATTTTTTTGTACATTATTTTGTTCACCACCTATACATAAAGCACAAGGTGCACCTTTTTGTGAGGTGTTCACTTCCAATTAATTGGAAATTTAAGTTTAGATATCAATAGGTCTAAATGCCAGGAACATTTGATCTACCTAGTTAGGCAATCCCTGCTTGCTTTTGGTTTGTGCTTTGAGGGAAACCAGCAATGAATTCCCATCACTTATGAAAGGGAAACCAATTTGAATACAGAAGAGAGTAGTAGCACATCATTTTGGTGAGTTGCAGTATACCGTGAATTGGAGAAGAGCCAGGTGGCAGAAGGCAGGGAGGCACTGAGGGGAGAGAGGAAAGGTATGAGGGGAGAGACGTAATTGTGCCAAACCCCCTATCTACTTTCTGTTACCTGTCTGCGCAGTGGGATGCTCTTAGCCAGCTTGTGCACAGCCAGCTGGCTATTGAAGTCACTCTTCTTGGCTGTGCTTTTCATCTTGAAGATGATGGCGATGACCACCATGATGCAGATGAGGAAGAAGCCCACGCAGTAGATGAGCACCTCCAGGTAGGTCTGGCTGGGCACCGGAGAGGGGGGCATGGCTGGGCACAGGGGCAAGGGTCAGTGATCACAGCGATGGCACATGAGGAGCGCACTCATGAGCACTTGGCTGAACTACAAGTTCTCAATCACACACTCCAACACGCCTGGCCATTCTGACAAATGCAGTGGAGAAGCCCTTGCAAACAGTATTTCAGATGTTTGGGATCATTACATGAGTGAACGAAAACACAGGCATCCTTTCCATATTTCCAAGTTAAATCAATTCAACTACTAACTCTTATGTTAGTAGATGATTTTACATGAGGAGCCAGGACTGTAGATTCACACTGAAATTCACACTGTCAGCCTCTCACAGAGACAAGCACACAATTAACTCATCCACAAACTTAGGTGTACTGAAGGGAAGATGTGGCAAATCAGACTATTTTAACTTGGAATATGCACTTCTAAAAGTCATTTTATTCACAATTAAACAGTTTCTTAATCCTACACATAATTTGCCTACACAACTTTCTTGAAGTATTTTAAAGTTTTTAAAGTTGATAAGCTCACAGACATTCACTTAAATATCTTATTCTAGACTGCCCAAAATTGTATTTTTAGTTGAAGAGAAACCCTTTTACCTAAGTGATCATTAGATTGTGGATTAAAAATAAACCACGTGTCAAATTGTGTCAGTTTATATAAGACTAAACTCCAAATACTGACGGTAACCCCACTTCCTAAACCACACCCTTCCACTTCCTTCCCATGATCTCCCAGCTCTCCGAAAAATGGAACACTGTATCCAGTTATTTCCTGTCAAACCATTTACTAGCTACATTTCAAGAGAGCTCCCAGAGTACTGAAAATGCCCTTAGATTCTGCAGCAATGTTAGTACTGATCATGGTAAAGAGATCTTTAAGCAGAACTCTCATAAATTGTATCATAACCAACAAATAAGCCATTAAACATGAACTTTTAATGTTGTCTTGGTTTTCACATGTAAATAACTGGACATCATTCCCAAATGAGGAGTAGCAATTAACCAAAAATGTCCAATTTCAGCCTTCCTCCTTTGCAGAGAGAACCAGAAGAGACCCTCAATAACACCCATTAACACAAGATAGCACCCTCTTGTGTCTGGAGGCTCAATGACAAGCAGCTGATAATTTAGGAAATGAGGAAATGGTATTTCCCACCAAGAAGTTAGAGTTCATTTCCTGACTGCCAATTATCAGCACCAAACCTGAAGAGTAACTGAGTGCCTCTTCAAAATAGTGAAGTGGCATCAGCTGGGCAGAGATGCCAGCATACAGGAAGAGCAGGAAAGAAAGAGACTGTATGGGTTCTTCAGGGTTTGTCAAAAATAGCCACCCAAATGAACTTTTTAAAACCAGATCAACACTTTGAAGAAATCTTTCATTTTTAATGAAACCAGCACATAAAATATCAAACACTCAGTTGTAAAAGATAACGTCTCTGGTGTGCAGTTCTCCTTCTGGAAACAAAGGTCCATTTCCAGGTTTGTAACAAATTTCATTGGAGATTTCAGTTCTCATAACTGAAAGTAAATTCCTACAAAACGATAATAGTAAACTGTTCTTAGGCAGTTATTCCCCATTCTGCTCCCTGCTATGCCCACACCTGCTGGGCTTTGCTCCACATCAACAAGTGGAAAGTGAAAGATTATCTGAACTAATATGATTCATTTGAATTGTTGAGTTATTTTAAACTCTTAAATATGCTGAGAGGTTTCCTTTTAACAAAATTTTAGTGGTGCAACTTGAAATCTCCCAACTTTCTGGCAGCTAAAAGCCTGGATATTGTTCCAATTAAGCCACTTATACTTTCAGTTAGAGTCAATTAAGTCCACAAGACCTTAGCTGAAATGAAAAGCAGCAGGCGTGTGGGATCCAAAGGGCTGGAATTGGGAAATCTTTCTCTTAAAAGATGCAAAATCTTGCCGGTAGCCCTTAGCATCCTCCAGATTCAAGCACTACTGCAGGATGAGTGTTTGATTTTGCAGTGTTTTCATTAAATCATACCCAGAGGGAAAAAGAGCATCGTCTCTGCATGGTTCCCATCCACGGAGACCCATCCAGGACAGATGGGCTGGGAACAGCATGGCAGGAAAGCAGAGGGAGAGGGGAAGGCCGGTTAATGCCAGCTAATCTGGTCTGCCTTCCTTGCCCATCACTACTGAACATGGAGGAGATCAGGTTCCAAAAATGATTTATATTCACTGTTTTCTTAATGCTTAAAAAATGTTTCCCCTTTTTCTACACTCAGCCTTGCAATTCTGAGAATTGCAACTGAGTTCCTCAACAATCTACCTGCTTGTTAGAGAGCAGTGAAAGGTACATCCTAGTATGCCGTCTATGGATTTGCTGTAGCATACAACTGCTGCTCTTTGTAATGCAGAGAGGCAATGAAGCTTGTCTTAAAGTCAATGGATGTCTATGAAGTTGAATTGAAAATAACAGTTAATTTAGAATGATGTAATATCTTTTAATTAACTCAACCTCCCATATCTTCACAGTCTTAAAGCAATGGGCAGCCCACTCCTCTGCAGAAGGAAGCAAAGTGGAAGAGACCAGGAAAGAGGGAAAAGCTGTAGAGGAGAAGGGGGCACAGGGAAAAGAACCATTTATACCTTTAAGAACGGTCAACCATGCAGTATGATGAGAGAACCCGATAGAATTGCCCGCCAAGCAGGTATACTCCCCAGCGTCATCAAAAGAGACATTTTTCAGTTGGAGGACTTCCATTTCCTTGTCCGTTGTGTTAAGGCCAGCCGTCTACAAAGAAAACAATGGCAGCAGACCGACAAAAAAAAAAAAACACCACAAGAGCAGGCGCTGAAAGTTCAGAGGTTTCCTGGCTGGGGGGAGGGGGCAGTACCCCCCCCCCCCACTCCCACCCCGGAGATGGGACCTCCAGTAGCACCCTTCCGCACCCTGCCAGAAGAGGAGCGGGACAGAGGATCAGGAGGAGGAGAACGGACAGTTTGCCCTACGCTGACACCCGTCACCACTGAAGGGACCACTCGCCCCCGGTCCCAGTCCCATCTTGACATGCACAAGATGGGCTACATGGAAAATCCACCCGCAGAAGGTACACAGGCCCGCACGGAAAACCAGGGTTTGAGGACAGACTGAAGGCAGTAAGAAAGAAAAGTTAAAGGCATGGGGGACGCCACTGGCTACACCTCTGAAAGAATATGCTCATCCATCATGGTCTTAACATAAGTGGTTTTCAAGGCAGGACTGGGAACACTGTTTGATGAATTTAGAGGCACGAGGTCTTGGCAACTTCAAAGATCACAGGTATTTTGTGTGTTTATCATTTTGATGTCTTACACATGCACTCTGGTCATGCCGTGTTTTGTCTTTAATATTTGGATGGGCTTATAAAATCCATTGGCAAGAAATCTAAGACAAATGGAACACAGATTATACTCCTAAACAAAAAAAAGTAATCACTGGGGCTACACACATTCATAGGTTTGCTCTACATGGTATAGGTATAGACATTATGCTGACAATAGTATGCAGCTGGTCATTCAAGGTGAAAAACTATGGTAGATTACACAAATGATGAACATGTTGGGGCTATGGACTTGAAACTGCAACAGTGAGGGTTCAAATCTTGGGTCACAAAATTCTCGGTTACAATTTGGTCTCAATTTACATTTCTGTCTAAAGAAAGGAATAATTAAAACATTTACAAAGTCTAAACAATGAAGACTGCAAGAATCTGAAGTGACAAGACCACCAAAGGACTACAGACACTTCTCTAGGAGAGAGATGCCACTGACAGCTAATGTTTAAGGGTACTGAGCCTATGGGACAAGAGCAGAAGTTTAGCTAATCATTTTCAAAATACCAGTAAAGCTCATTAGAAGTCACTGGATGTTTTAAGTCCCCTTCAATGCAAATTGTAGCCTTGGAGACCTCTGGTGGAATTCCGGATCAGAAAATTGAACCCAAATGACAAAGAAAGAGACCTGTGCAACATAAATCAATAAAAGCTTTCACCAGAAAAATAAAACAGGTTTGTGAGCGAGAGAGATGAAGTACAAAGGAGAAAAGGACAAAGCCCTTCTAGAAAGAGAAGGAAAAAAAACAGCAGGAATTAAAGGCTTCAAACCCACATGTGCGTTTGTTGTTCTGCAGGGGATTTTCCATGGTATAGCAAGAAACACCAAGGCAGAAGGGAATGAGGGAGGAGAGAAACACACAGGCTGTTTCTGGATTGTTTCAGCCTGGCTGTCCGGGCTGTCTCTGCCTGCCTGCCTGACTATTTAAGCCTGTGATATGGGGAGGACTGGGCCAAGATGCTTCCTGGGGTGTTACCTTGTGCCTCATGTCTGATGACTGTCAGCCAGGCCGACTGACTGGCCTCTCCTATATAATTGGACACTTTACAAACATACTCTCCGCTCTCCTCCTCCGTCACATTGTAGAGAGTCAGCACCTGAGTGTCCGAGCTATTGACCCCCGAGGACTGGAAACAACAATAACAAAAAAAACCAAGGAGAGAAACAAATGTGAAACAGGCTGCCAGCACTATATGACCTGTTTAAAGGAGCAGTTTGATTTGATTGGTCGTATTATTTTAGCTATCGCCTACTGCTTTTTTAATCTATTAATATTCCTTAGTGATTTTCTTGTTGCTTCCCCCTAAAGATAGCTACATTTTTTCATGCCAAAGCGGTAATGATGCCTAATTGTAAAAAAAAGTGGCAAAGGAAGAGGACAAACTTGTGGAATTATATCTTTTGAGGAACCACTTTTGATTTGTGAACATCACAGACAAGCAAGGACCAGAAGGGAATGACATTTTGTTGCACTTGCACTGCCTAGGCAATATGGCTGCCTCATTTACATACAGCTTCTAGATACACAGACAGGCAACATTGGCACACATCCTTGGGAACCTTACTACCCAAAGGTACAGCACTATGCAAAGTGGATGAGCAGTCACTCATCAGCATGACTTTGTTCCCATCTAGTCATTCCATGTCTATATGTTAAGGTGTCCCTGGTAGGGTGATACAGTATTTTATGCCTGCACACGTCCACCTCAGTATGTCAAAAGACCCAAAAGATACCAAAGGTGAAGATGATATAACCTCTCCTTTTAAGACTGGAATAAACGATACGGGTGGATTAAAATAACTAAGGAAAACCCGCATTTGATATTATCATCACAAATAAAGGCAACAATATCTTAATTTAGAATACCAGCTTAATGAAGGCATTCCAGTTTTGGCCACATTTGCCAAACACCAAACTTTAAATCCTGAATAAGTCAATGGTGTTGTGTATTTCGCCTCATACTATGACATGTGATTTTGTTGCATTCTTTGAATTGTAATGCATCATTCAGTATTAAACATATCAAATGTACTAAATTTGAATAACTAAGAATTCCTTCTAATAGATTACGAAATGTTTAACGATACATTGGCACCACAATCTCTTGATAATTTGAGGGTTTCAGACTGATGGGAAACAGTTCTTTAGCCTCAACCTGAATGTGATCTATGCTTTCAGATTTCATTTGGCAGTTCCAAGGGTCTATTTTATATAACAGGATTTAGGAGGAATTAGACATCTATAGGTATTAAAAAGAAAGGACTTCCTGTACATTTCTTAAGGGGTCTATACAAAAATTCCTGTCTGGTACAGCCATGGAAAATTAAGCAATTTGGATATCAATATTAAACAAGGTTAGTCAAATGCCAAATTGAGTAGCCCGTAAACTGCTGACCTGGGACATTTTTAATCCTAACAATTATAATGTTGGTTAGGATGCTTTTCTTAGTACCACCATCCACTGTCTCCTCTATATATTGTAATTGTGTTTTATCTTGTGTATTCTTATTTACTGTTGTCATCCTGTAAAGCGCTTTGAGAAGCCACCTTTAAAGGCACTAAACAAAATAAAGTTTATTACATTATTATTATTATAATGCTATAGATCAGCTTGTTGCATGGATGGCAGGTAACCATATGCATACATAAATGAAGAGACAATTTACAGTGTATCTAAGGAATAGTTTGTTCATAATAAAATTAGCTGGTTTAGCAATAAATCCTGCTGTATTACAGCTGTGGAATCTTGGGTTTGATTGGCATCTTTAAATTAAATACAAGGGGGCTTGTATAATTGGTAACACTACAGTATCACAGCCCATGCTGCTACAATACAACTTTACTCTGTGAAAGTAACAGACTCCAAACACACTTGCCGGAAACGCCGGGTTGGATTTGCAGGCTTGCGTAAGGCAAATTAAAATCCTGAGGTGCATACGTGTTGTTTTGGTCATGGGCCCCCGTGAAAGAAAATCAGCTGGGCGTGGGCCTTGGCCCGGTCGTTACCTTGAGCACTCTCACGTAGGGCAGGCCATCCGGCCCCACGCGGCTGCCGTTCACCTCGATGTGCTTCAGCCACTGGATGTGGGGCTGGGGATCGCTGAACACCTTGCAGACGAACTCCACGTCGCTGCCCACCACCACCGTGCGATTGGCCGGGAGCCCCGCCTGCAGGATGGGCCTGTGGGGGGAGCGCTCTGGACCCCGGACAGAGAGAGAAGGAGACTGTGAGAGGAAGCTCAGGGTCCAGTGTTCCCTCTGATTTTTAGTGGCCCGTGTGTGCAAAAATTTCAAGTTGTGCAATTTTTTTTCCCCCCTCGTGACAGACACACTAAACTTGAGTGCAAAATTTAAACCTGAAAACTGCTCCAGGTTGCCGTATAAATGGCTGACCTTGCGCCCTGACCCCAAGCTTCTCTCCGTGTATCTCATGGAGAGCAAGCTGGGGTATGTGAAAAAAGAAATTCCTAATACAAGAAATTGTAATTGCCAATAACATGATCTTCTCTTATTTGGTGGTAGGAAATTATTTAGGGAAGCTGTTTTGCAGCCGTCTACATTAACATGAAAAACACAGCCTGCGCAGCTGGAGGCAGAACACTACTACAGTAGATTAGCATTCCCCTTGAAGATGCAAAAACCAGAGGGAGAGGACGAGGGTAAAGAAAAGCGAGAGTCAGGAAGAAAATGGGAAAAGACAGGAGTGGAAAAAAGTCCAGAAGGAAAGAGCAGAGGAGAGTGAAGGAGGGATGAGGAGGTGGAGGTAGTTGGGAGAGGTGGTGAGGGAATGAAAATGGGGGCTGGGCCTTTGTGCATGCCTGGATGAGATCATGGCCTGTAGTCTTGCTGAGCCTGGTTCATTTCACTCCTGGTCTCAGTCTGGGCACACAGAAAGGGCGTAATCAGGCAGGGTAATAGCTATTTTCCAGAGGAGCTATGCAGTCTCCCTAATTGCTGCTCTGTTGTCTAACCTACTAGAAAACAAGCTTGTGGCAGACAGCACAGAATACTCTTACTGCTGGTGATAAAATCTTCAAGGCTTCAAGAGAACTGACACTACCAACACAAGGAACAATAGCAACCTGTTTGTTCCCTACTAGAACATTCTCTACAACATGGAGCAGTGGCAGAGAATTTTGTTAAAAGACTGGATCTCAACTTTCTCTATTAAGAAAAATGTTTAAAATATCATTCAGAGTGCTTTGGATTGTATAAATGTACAACAATGTGGTGTAGGGTTGCAAAAAGTCTCATTATGATCAGCCAATCTTTTGACATTCTGATTTTGCAAGAATAACTGCATTTAGCCTTGTTGTGTGCTATTAGAGGCTCTAATAAGTTCAAACCATCTGTTCAGATCAGTTGATGAATCCAGAGAATCCCCAAGCTTCTGTGCACACTTGTCAAACTGGGCTTCAAATCAAGAATGACCTCATTAAGAAGGCCAATAATGGTTTGGGGATGAAGTCATTCCCAGGCTTGAGCAATTCTAAACCACATTGCCCATGCAAACCCCCAGAGTATGAGCCAGGTCAGAGGTGTGACTGGAAGAAAGCACAGAAAGGGGGGTACTGTGTCCCCATTACTTTATGCTGAGTTTCCTGTTCTAGTCCCCATTCCTTGCCGACCTCAACTTTTTTGTGCTGGCCCCTCAGATTCAGTGAACATCTCATTTCGAGTATCGAGAAACGTTAGGGCCACACTGCATCAGAGTCACCTTATGAGAGTCTCTCGTCCATTGTTAAGGACCAGAGCCACACCTATTTCATTTTAGATCGGGGAATAAAACATGTCTCATGTAAAAGAGAGCTTCATTTTTGGAGATTTGGTAAAAGTATTTCCAGGGCCAGCCAGAAAGAATCCTCAGAAAGCTCGCCAATAACTTTAGATCCCGCAATTCTTTTGGAGGAAGAGGCTCGGCTGAAAAAACAAATGGAAAGCAGTTGGAAAAACAACAAGAGGCTAACCCAATGACATTCAGTCCTGGTTTGAGAGGATCGCCATTTCCTGTGGTTTTCCCTCCATCCTGGACTCTTGATGACTTGATTTAATTTAATTGCTCTTTATTACCACCGGTTCCAGGTCTTCACTCAGTGACAAGTATTAATGACCTAAAAAAACTGTTGAACTGCACCCTGGACTAGGAGTGAGTATCAGTGGAAGGAGACAAACTCACCAACGACATCGAGCTGGTAAGTGTGGTTGATGCTGCCGTATTTGTTTTCCACCACACAGGTGTAATTGCCCTTGTCTGAGGGCACCACCGATTCCATGATGATGGTCCACATGTGCTCCCGGACCTGGCAGAGAGGGGGCGTAGGTCAGCATGGCACAGCACACACGACACACCACAGTGTGGTAGGACACATCCAACATCATGGTTACTGCCAGCTTCCACCAGCTTCACCTGAACAAGCAGGTGAGGGTTACAAAGCTATTTCAAAATGGCCACATATAAACAATGTATAGAAGAGCCTATAGTTCATTAACACCTACAAAAAGATAAAACTGCTATGGAAATATCTCATGAGATATCTTCTTCAATATCTGAACTGAGTTAATGGACTAACATTGCTACACACAGGTTAAACTGCGATTCCTTAGAGGACATCCTTTTAAAAACAACGTAATATAAGCAAATGCTAAGTCGCCCACAGATCATGAAGGCAAACTCTCCCTCAAGCTGCTGCCTGTTGCCGTCTCATGGATTTTCCCCTGTCGAGATACTGTTCTTTGTTCTGTGCCGAAACTCATGTACGGAACATAAAACCGTCTTCAAGTCTGGTAAAACATTTCCTTCTCTTTTCACTGCACCATTTAACATGGCTATCTGGCAGAGCTGCTCATCCCACTATATTTCACTCTGTTCAGTGGCCCCTGTATCTAAATACCAGACAGCCTGTTATACTAATGCAAAAACATGTTGAAACGGAGAACTCCAGAAAAATCTCAAGCCAGCTGCAAACGGTGTTCTACTTCTCACAGAGAGGGGAAAATAGCACCATATATATAGAAAACGGCATTAAAACATTTTCACTCACACAGGTCCTGGCAGAAGCAAGTGGAAGGTAAGAGGAGATTGGGCTTACCTTTAACTAATTCAAAGGTACAGCTGACAAAGCGTAAGAGTTTGGAACAGAATCAGACAGCAAATCAACACATACACAAACTAAAATTCCCACAAAGTGATCGTGATTGGATAATACAGCAGACATCTGACCAGTTCTGTTTCAAGACTGAACCACACATTTTTAAAAGTCTCACGTTCTTTTCCAAAATAACGAAAGGGAAAGATGTTCAATAACAGATAATACTGTGCTGCAGTAAAGGAAGCAGGCTTTGAGATTTTTGTAAATTGTATACATCCCAATTCTGCTTTTTTCGCTTGTTAGGAAAACACAAGCAGCCGATCGGGGACCCTGATGAAAAAACTCCCTTCATAGCACTCCCTAGCCATCACTGCAGACATGTCCACCTTGACTGTAAAGAATAGGTCCAGATGGTAAAGCACACTACACAGAGAGATTCTGCCAGTAGAGAGGAAACGTCTTAATGTCTCCCAGCTGGACTGCTTACAGCAGACAGGCCTCGATAGGAAAAACAGACGCCAGCTTGTTCCGTGTGTTTGCTCAAGTGGTTTTTGTGTGAGGCATGGCTTTTGCCATGCAGAGTGAACCCACCACCTCAATACCCTGCATCTGGCTCACAGACTACTATTGCTCGTCAATCTACAGTGGCACCTTGTCTTTACCAGTGTGCCCTGCCTCATTAAAAGTCCTCGCAATGCACACACAACGCCACATGCATGACAGGAATTGCTGATTGATGTATGTGGTACACATATGGCAATTTGGGGGAATTGCACAAAGTCACACAAAGTTAAAAATACCCAAATCAAAGCAGCTTCGCTCCTTTTTTGAAGCCAAAGCACACATTTTGCAATTTTAATTTTAAAATTGGGGGGGGGGAGGGAAACACGAGTTTCTTCCCAAGTGTGTTTGCCATGGCTGGTTGTCTCTTAACGTCGCAGCACAAACATCAAGCCTGTCTTTTCTGCAGCCGGTTTTCCCTTTCATCTCCCCACTTTTGGAAAGTGTCAGGGCTGCGGGGAACGCTGTCTGGGACGGGCTGCCCAGCAGTTCCTCGCGGTCACGTCAAGCCAGGCCCCCCCCTGGGGGCTTTCTGCTGGAGCGGCAGTTTTGTGCTCTGCTGCAGATGAGATCCTGGCCGCCATCCCAAACCGCAGTGGCCAGACTAGCCTAATTCATGATGAACGAGTGCGCACCAGGACCTCATCCATCAATGGGACAAGTGCAAGCCTGTGAGCCTTCTGGAGAGAAGGCCAAGGTGTCTCCCCCCAGTCCAGCACCTGCCTGCAGTCAGCCAGGGCCAGAGAAGGTCAAAACCTAAGAGCATCCCTGACTCATACATCACTGGTTAAGAAATGGCCAAATCGAACCTCTAGAGTATTCAAGAGGAGGACAGAGCATCACGAAGAGGAGAGAGTCATGCTGGCAGAGATGACAACTGAAACTGAAGCCCTTTGCTAACCAGTTCCAAGTCCTAGTGTCCAATCATAACGGCATGCAAAAAAATTAAGTGTTTTTTTTGTGTTAAATCTGGTTCTCTACAATGTCTACACAAAAGCCTTGTTCAGGGGTCAGAAGCCTTTCTGGGGCAGGAATGATCGATGTCCAGGGTGAAAGAAACCTGTGAATAAGGGAAACTATTTTTCTGTGGAACTGCTGGTTCCCAGGAGCAAACAAACATTGGACAACAGCTGATTTTCAGTCAGCTGCAGCAGTTTACACCTGAAGGAATCTCATTCGCCCATCGCCAGAAAATGGTCTGGAGGGAAGATACCCCTATGGAATTCTTTGTCTATAAGTAGCCTTAAAAAAATATTCTAGCTTGCTCGGAATTTTGCTGACTCCTGGCCTTATTTGAAAAGGAAGCCTTTTATTTGTAAAGTAACCTGTAGGCTGGATTTGTAACCCTGGGCATTTTTAAAGAGATTCTCAGCAAAGCAGCTGAAAAGCACTGTTGCAGAAGGGACAGTTTCCTCATCCTTCACATGCAGTGAAATCTCAAATGACAACAGCCCCCGCCTCCCCCCCACGAGAGGCCCGTGAAGCCAGTGTTAAGAGTTGAGGGATGCAGTGGCTCTGCTGCAGGCTCTCCTATTGTGGGACTACATAATCAGCTCTTTGAAGGATCAGGTTTCACCTTGCATTCTTTCACCTACAGTGACGTACAGCTCTCCCAGCTCAGGTGTGAAAACAGGGCTGCTCCCAGGCCCAACTCGGACTCTGCTGCTGCCAAGCACTTACTCTCTCACACTCCCTTCTTGTCCCTCTTCTCCAGTTCACACACAAACAGCTTTACTGGCTCGGCTGATGCTACTGCTTTGGCAGCACTGCAATTCAATTAGCAAAAAAACATTTACTGACATTTATAGAAAAGGGTTTTGAGAGGCTCACTCTGCTGCTCGGGCTGTGACCGGAGATCACACGCTGGGCTGCCAGTTCTATTCGTTTTCCTTACTCACTCATGCTCTCTGTCCAACTTTTTCATGTGCTGCTCTCTCAGGTACGCAGGAGTTAGGCAGTGAGGCCAGGGGGAAGACACCTGCACTCCTTATACACTCCCCCTCTCCTATTAGGCTTGGATTTGCAGCATTATCCCTCTTTTCCTCTTATTTTTCTGTTTTTACTACTCTTAATAAAACATTTGTTGTTTTTCTGGTGATTTTCACTCAGACACGTGTTTATGAGAAAACTAACCAACCTTCCAGCTCTAATTCCCAAAACCACTAGTCTTAAAGATATTTTTTTCTGCAGTTTAAAGTTCACAGATTCATGAAATATATTTAATGGTATTAAAAGTGCCTGACTTAATAGGAACACAACTGATGTCCTCACAGTGTAACTCCTGTATTTTATTACCCACAACTTTGCAGCTTAGAGCTCAGAGGTCCTAAGGACCACTCCACATGACAAACATGTTGTTACAACAGGTTTGATGGAGGATTTCCTTGATTCTGTTCTAGATCTTATGCCGACTGCCATGTGCCTCCTGGCTAGGTTGCCACTGCAAATGTCAATTAGCTAAACGAATAATGGTTTGGGATTAATTAGATACTGGAGTGTATGGACAGCACATGTGCAGTAGAGCCCATGTATTGGTCTGAGACTGGTGCTGGGGGTGCTGGGATTGAGCAGATGTGACAGCTGTGAGGGGGGATCGGGACTGAGGCAGATACCTTGAAGCCCCCGATGCGCTGCTCCCTCTTGAACTCCTTGCCGTTTTTGTACCACTTCAGAGTGGGGACAGGGTTGCCACTGGCCTGGCAGCGGAACTTGACAGTCTTGCTGGCCGGCACGGCATGGAGCTTCTTCTCCATCTTCTCCGGCTGAGCCCACTGTGGAGCCATGGCTGTGGGGGGAAGGAGAGGGTGAGGTCATGTGCAGTCATGGACTGTCCACAAGAGCTAGATGAGCTGCCACCGTAGTGACACGAACAGGGAAAACAAGCTACCCCCCTCCCACCGGGATAGGGAGGGAACCCTTAAAAATCCTAAAATATTCCCTCAGATTTCCACATGGTGGGATTCTTGTTGGCGTCCCTGCGTGGATGAGTCCTTCACTGGAGTACGGTGGGAGCTGGGAGTTTCCAAATAAGCTCTAGCATAAAGGAAAAAAAAACAAGGAACTCTTCTTCAAGCAGAGATGAGCTTTACAATTGCAACCTGGTTTGGCCTTTACAATCTCAGACCTTTTTTTGGTTAAAATGCATAGGAATTGTAGAAGGAGAACAATATTTGGGAATCTTTGAAAAACAAATTGTAAAACTGAGAAAAGAGTGTAGTGTGTGAGAGCAGGGCAGGCCTCTGGTTTGTTGTGGGTGCCCGTCAGGGTTGAGGAATGCCCGCTATGCTCCCCTGCCCAGAAAACCACAAGATATCAGCACGTGGAACAGGCTGACCAAGCACATCTCCACACCTGGATGGTTTCAGGATGCCCTGCAGGCTGAAAAACTAATAAGAGCCATGTTGGAATTCTGAATGACTACTTAAAAAAAATCTTAACGCTCTGATTAATATCTCCCTCCTCGTGACAGTGTGCAGAAGCTGTTCCCAAGACAGCAAATCACACCGGCCTGGGGTAGGTCTGTCAGGAACTGCCTTGCTCAGCCACTGAAGTGTAAAGGTGGCTGATCCCCTACCCCCATCTTAAGGAAATATCAATGTGCCGTTTTCTTAATATTCCAACTAGCACATAAGCCTAATTCTGTCTTACTTAGACACCCAGCACTTAGCTTCTTCTAAATCCATGTTGAGTAGTAACACAGTCATAGTGATAACAACCATGCCCCACACCCCTTGCCAGACAGGAATATCAAATGAGGCTTAAAAATAAAGAAAATCAAGGTCTTTAAACAAAAATATATAATCTTGTATCTCACACAACTCTCCATGTACTGTTAAATCTACATGAAGAAAACATCCATGTCTCTTTCACATGGGGTGATAAATATATTCAAATTCCTCAGAAAAGAATTAAAACAATGCCACACCTCTGGCTCCCATTAGAGCAGAAGACAAATGAAGAAACCAGTAATCATATACACAGGGCACACCATTCTGTAACAAACGGGTTTACTGCTTCGAAATGGTATCAAGAGGAAGCACCAACTGATCCTGCTTGGAGAAATATGGAGAATCAAGTTCTAAGTTATAAATAAAAATCAGCTCACAGGAGCTCTGGGGGGAATGAGGACACGAGAATTGAACTCTTTGCTCCAGTCCTCACTCCAAATTGCCTCCAGAGTGGTTACTACAGCCTCAACTTACGCAGGAGTTTCTGACTGCTAGACAGCTTGGTCTCCTCCGAGGAAGACTCGTCGTCATCTTCATCTTCAGAGGATGCCAGGGTATCAGCTGGAAAACAAACAGTCAGCCCCTCAATACCTGTGACCCAAGGAACCAGCACTAGGCAACATTACAGAGTTTCCAACAAGATTTCCATGAGAATGAAAGACAGATCTACAGAACTTGGACACAAATGCTGGTTGCAAACTCTTGAAATGTGTCCTGTTCCCGCGAAAAAATAAGGCACAGCTTTTCAATATGGAAACCTCAAATACTAGATAAAGGTGTGGTTTGCACAAGCTGGACATGAGCCTGGAGATGACTGTTACAGATGACAGAGTTTGTCTGCTGTAATAGTCAAAAACAAAGCTGAAGTAGTATTTGTTCAATACTTTAATTCTAAAAACTGCACAAGACTTAACACTTTTCATTCCACTGCCTACCTAATTCTTGTGCTCTACACATGGGTCTCTATTGTCTTGGTTTAGAAGATTGCTTGTTTAGAGTTCTGGACTGGCAACTAGAAAGTTGTGGATTCAAATCCTGGGTGAGACACTGTTGTTGTACCCTCGAGCAAGGTACTTCACTTAGACAGCTCCAGTAGAATAACGTAGGGTATAAATGGGAACAACTATAAATCTCTGGATAAAAGAATCCACCTAATAAATTAAGAAACCATATATAAAAAAACATACATCTAAAAATTCACACATAACAAATTGCCTTTGGAAAGTCTTCTTTACAGGGGGGTGCTGTGGAGGTATTGTTACTGCGATTTCCATTCAAATAGCTGGGTTCAGAGAGCTCTGCAATGTAAATTTCTCATCACACGTACTCACAGTTACTACTTAAGAAGTCATACGTCGGGAAATAGTGAGCACAGCAAATACTTTTCAAAAACCAAGCAAGAAAAAAAAAGTTGAAAACAAATCAGAAAATACTAAAGATTCTTTCAGATCTGTATATCACATCTGAAGAGGACAAGGCAAAAGAAAAAGTAATATGAAATATCTAGTCCACAAGTTACAAAACTCCAAGCCAAAGCAGATCCACATAATGGTTTACAAGCTGCTTAGTGTATCGCAAATTGAGAAATAAACAAGGCATCCTCTTCAGAGTAAATCAAACATCTCAAAACCAATTTCACCCACAACACTTGCTCAAACGAATGGACTAATGGCTCCATAGCTTGTCCACTGTGGATATTCTTAGTACATCAGAGCAGGCAATCAGGAAAGGGCTGTTAGTCACAGCAGTAAACTAATCAAGAAAAAGGAACCACATCACAGTGCAGTCATGTAATGAAGAATCATAAAAATGGTACTTTGTTCACCACTAACCCAATGACATGAAACCAATGCAAAGACATCAATCTATGTTTGACGTGAGTGGCTCATTGAGAATAATTCAGTCTCTGAACGGTACGTTGCACACTCGGTTTGAAGAAAACGCTGATCTTTAGTCTTGAACAGAAGACACTAGGCAAGGATTTAATTAAGATATGGAAAATCCTGAAAGGCACTGATGAAGTATCAAAAATCCAACAACAAATGCAAGCTCCATGTTCAAGACATCACAGGTGCACCCAGTGACACGAGCTGGGTGTGGGTTTGGACACGAGAAATGAAGTGCTTGTACACTTAAAACAGAGAACAGGGGACACTTCTTCAATCAGAAAGTTGAATGGAGTCAACATCTCAGATGTGCTGTTGAAGCAAAGTTCCTTCGATCCTTCAAAATAAAGATGAGATGAGTCTTGTATCAACAACTTACTAGCAAAGAAGCAAGCACAGGCGAGACACATGACCTTCTCATTTGCATAAACACTGATGTCCTTACAATTAAAAGACCTAGGATAAGCCCTGTAGCTTTGAGACTGCAGGATGGAGTCCAAGCCCGGTTTCTCCCCAGCCATGGTGAGGAGAAATGATATCCGTGTTGGAAAGCCAGGACAGGGACAGGGTCACCTTGAGAAGACCGTGATCAGCGTATTGCCCGAGAAGCCTGAGAGCGGGTGAGGTAGTTCTTGACCGATCTTGGGGAGGTCCTGATCCTCGGAGGGTCCCTACGTACCTGTGACGTTCACGGAGAAATAGATGCTGTGGTTGCTGAAAGGACCTTGGCTCACACAGGCATAGAGGCCCGAATCGGCCGTCTCCACGCCCTCAATCTCGAGCAAGGCCTCTCGCAGGCGTGTGTGCTCCCCGTCTTGCAGAGTCACATGGTCCTTGGTCCAGACGAGTGCCTGGCCCTCCTCCTTGGCTCCGCAGCGCAGCTCTAAGCGCTCCCCGGGGTATAACGTATACGGCTCCGCTTGCGTTTCGGGAGGGACTATGGGTGCACAAGACAAAACAAAAAAAAAAAGGCCACACAATGCGTGGAGGGGGTCTGCTTTTTTCTCTTAGGCTCAATAAAAAAGATGCAACAAAAAAGTGAATCCATCACCCAAAGAGGGGAAAAAGCCTCCAGAACCAACACCAACACCAAAGAACAGCTGCCAGCAAATGAAGAATATTGAAAAGGACAAAAAGCAATGGCCACACAAGATTGCACCACCACCAAAATGAGCTTTATACATTAGTGACTTCATGTCCCTAAAACATCTCTGGTACACTACATTTCTACAGTCACTTGCTTCTAATTTGCACTGACTGTTGCAAGAATATATTTATCATTGAAGAAGAGAGCTTCAATTTTACTGCTAGCAAACAATTTATATGTTCCAAATGTACTCCTTGTTTTTTATGGGGCAGGATTGGTTGATACACAGCTGCTGTAATTCTCTATGTTCTTGCTAAAGTTGGACAATGTCAATGTTTTGATCCTGGTCGACGTGAATCGAATAAATCAGATTACCATAGAAATCCTGCAATGTTGTGAGGTAGGAGGTCATAAACGCTTCAAGCTACAGAAACCAGCCTGACTAAAAGCCTGCACTTTGTATGCGATTGGAAGTCTGGAGCTAATAGGGCCTGGAAAGACTGGGTGATGTTTACAAACTAGACTCCCCTCACCCCATTCCTTTCAGCCATTTTGTTTTTGGGGCTCATAAGATCCCAGCCCTGTTTACCAGGCCCAATAAAGCCATCGTTTCCTTTTCTCTCCAGTCTTCTGGAAATTAAATTGCTGCTACAACTTAGTCATGGTCTGTTTGTCAGTCTGGGCTGCAATGATGGCAATTCTGTGTGTGGCAAAACAAATCGGATTTACAGGGGAAAGAGGCCTTTCAGCTAAGACACCCAAGTCCCCTGGTCTTCCATAACCCTAGTCAGAGGGGGGAGGGGCTGGGAAACCCAATTACCCTGACACCTCATCAATCATAGCACTGGTGCTCTTCTGCTCAGCACAGCAAGCTTCTGCCTTCTTCCCTTGGGACTCATTCAGCCCTTCTAAGGAGTCATTTGTTTTAGTTACAATCCATCACCTAGTGTTCCACTAAATCACCTTGTTGTCAGACATTTCAGACCTGGTACGGTTTTGAAACAGAAATCAAAGAAAAGGTCCATCCCTCTCAAACCTCCATCTGCCACTTCACCACCAGGTCAAACACTTTTGGATACTATGAACCTCCCAATTAACTGGGATGGTGATGAAAACAGATGCAAAGCATTTCCCCTTCATCAATTCTGTTTTGAGCTATTCCCTTGATTAATCTTTCCAGAGACAAGAAAGCAGTCCGCAGTTGAGACTGCCAGAGTTATCAAGGTGAGAGTTTGGAACTGCCTGTACTTTAAGAAGCTCACACTCATTTGTTCAGTGGCATTTTCAAATGGCCTATCTTTAACATCTTCAATGACTGAGGATGCCCTGTTTCTCTTGTATCACAGCTACACTTTCTTAATTCCATGAAACCTACGGAAACTCCTGGATGTGCTACACTTCTACCCGAGGATGAGGTTGCTGGTAATATGATGAGACAATGTACTGGGGTTAAGATGCCACTCAATACGCTGTCTGTCAGATCACTGACTAAACAGGGTGTGAGAGGTAATGGAAACCACCCTGCTTTGCATGGAATTGAAACCCAAGCCAGTACCCACCTGAACAAGGTATGAAGATTTCATTATTAAACGACACCCCCTTGAACACGGACCAAAACCTTGTGTACTCCTTTCAGTAATCACATGAGATATCAGTCTTCTAGCATTTCAACAAAGTAGACCAGAAAACAGCACTGGTACTTTTAAAGTACTTAAAGAAAGTACTTTAAAAAACGGAGAAACACAATTTAATCAATAAACGCGGTTGTTTGTAAGACACCGAAAGCCCAGAAAGACTGCGGAAGAAAAGAAATGAGGTACAGTGTTCGCCTTGTGCAACTTGAATGAATTCCCTCCTACACACACAGCTTTGTCTCCTAGTGAGACTTAAGGCCTTCAAGATCCAATACTTTCCAACTAAGCGAAAAGCTTGGATTGTCTATCCCATCTTTTTCTAACCCTCTATAGAAACTGAAGGCTTTCTGCCAATCTGCCTTTGATGATGATGAGCTTCACCTCCTGTGAGGTGGCAGTAGGGCACCGGAGGAATCAGAAGATCAGTATATTTCGGCCTTCTGACTTCCTGGCTCCTTGAGCAGATTTGTGTAAATTTCCAAAGTGCCCAATTACACCGTGACAGGTCCACAACAGCTTTCTCGGACTATTTTAAGAAAAAATAGTACCACTGACAGGACCACTTTCAAAGTATTTTAAAAACATCAATTTTAACATCTAAAATTATACTTGAGTGAAAAAATATGTAAGCTCTGGAAACTTCTTGTATATAAGCAAAAATAGAGGGTAATTGATAGCACCAAAACATCCATTTGGAAAACAAAAATGAAACTGCCCTTGTACTTTTTATTAATATTTGTGAGTGCTGTGGTCATGGATTTCACGTCAGCTACAGCTATTCTATTTATTTCTGTACCTGACAACACAGTAATATATGTTGCACAAAAGAAGGTGAAATAAAACTGTGTGATGCAATCTAATCAGATATTCTAAAGATGACCCATCACGCAGATGACAGATGTGTGTAATTGAGTAGTTTTTTGCCTTTTGAAGCCCTGGCCAGAAAGAACAGTCTAATGTATGCACAATCTCACTTTGTGCAAAAAGTTGAAACACTAATGTGGTGAAAAATATTATTGATATAAAGTTTGTAGAATAAGTCAATTTCCAAAATCAAGTGGATTCTGGGACTCTGATCTCTGCTGAGTAGCAGAGTTTTTGATGGATCAACACATTTAAGCAAATTCTTCAAAACAAGATGTTGGAACAGTTTTACAGCCCTCACAGAATGTGCACACAGTTTCAGGACTGCTGGGGATCCAAACTGTCGAAATGGAAGGAACGCCAACAGGTTTTCAGAAAAAGAATGAATAAAAGGCAAGGATTTAGGCAGAAAACAAGAACGATGCAATTAAAATAAAAAATGGAGGGACAATGTGGTGGTGGGGTCCACAGAGAAAGGAGGAATGGTTTAAAGATTAACCTTAAGACCCTGCCATTCACTGCTGGTTCCTGGCAGCATGACCCTTTTAACTTCCCTCCCTTTACAAATCACACAAAACATGGCCCCATGCCAAACAACAACACCAACTACCGCCTACACCCCCCACCCAACACACATACACACACCCTTTAGATCAAAATTTGTAGACCTGCACACACTCAGCCCGGACTTCTTCCCTATCTGTTGCTCTGTTTCTTTTTCAATTTGTGCTGTACAACTATCCCAACAAAGGGCTCACAACAACAATGAAAGGGGGGAGAGGGGAGAGTGAGGCCTGTAGCAGCAGGTTCCACTGCCGGTTGTCATGGTGACTGCATTTAGGCCTAGTAAAGGTATTTCCTGGATCACATATGCCTGACAGGCCTCCTAATCCCAGCAGGAAAGGGGGCCAAGGGGGTAGGATCAACTTTCTCCTCAAAAAAAAAATGAAAAAGAGGCAGAGAGAGTGGGGGATATGGGGGGTGTCCCTGTCTCCTACATGTTTTAATTTGGGCTGTGATTTTTTTGTAAAGTCTAATGCATCCCGTATGAGGTCTAGTTTTGTTTTGTGTTACTCTTTATTGCTGATAAGCTTCAGTCAACATTCCAGCTATTAATCAGAGCACAAACACACCATAAAAAAGCCATAAAAGCTGTAAAAAGTACTTGTCGCTTTGATGTCAAGTAAACCATGGTCTCAATGTATATGTCCCAGACCTTGGTTTCCCTTCCGAAATAATTCTCAACAGTAATGGGTTTTTCTCCATTTAATCTTTTGTTGAAATTTTATCAAACTCAGACAGCTGCACTCTTATTTAAAATTACTTTGAAGCCCATATAAATGTTTAGATTTTTAAAAATAATAATGCTGCATCAGCAAGTGGTTTAATATAACAGATAAAAAAAAACAAAACCTGAAAAACTATTTTGTAGGAGTTTCTTTTCAATGATACATGTCAAACCAGACACTTCAGCTTACTTAGTAAGCCTACTTACCAAGTGAAATGGAGAAAGGCCTTAATGTAATCCAATTAATAGCCATATTTACTACTGAAAACTCCCCTTCTATTTCATGGTTCCTACTGTTCTACCTTTCATTTCTACAATTATTAACCATGAATCCAGGTGTCCATAAAAATGGAGGTGAAAGTTAAATAATTAAACTGACCATCCTACTTAGTGCCAAACCTATTACCTTCATGCACTGCAGTACCATCCTGTATGAAGTAAGTGCCTTTTATATACATGGTGACATCATATCTGAACCTGTAATGAAGTGTCAATCTAAAACTTAATTTTCAAGCTGAGCTGAGTTATACTAGGATATGAGTCCCAACTTTACCACATATAAACTGAAATGTTTTACCACGTTTTTCAAATACTCTAGTCACAATTTAAATTGTAATCACCACCACACACTCTCATTCGCTAAAAACATTGAGGAAAAAAACCAAAAGACCATAATTAGACCTATATGCAGTCATGCTGTCCTCATTTTCCTGGGTAGTCGCAAATACAGTCTCTTTATAAGAACCATAATGACATGGTTGCAAGGCTGGATATTTAAGTATGAGGATGCTGTATGGGAAGGATAATCCAAACCTTCCCCTCTGCTAAATTAGAACCAGTTGAAAACAGACCATTATACATTGCTTTGAAACTGCAGATCCACACTAAGGGGAAAAGGAGTCGCTCCGCTTCTTAAAACAAAAATAAGTGGCTCAAACTTATGTAAAATGGGAAACAGATTTTGGTCTTGGAATCAAGCACAGCCTGGTTTTTGCTGAACCCTTCAACCCAAAGGTATCAAGCCTCTGCATTTTGATTGAATAAGGACATGAACATTTCAAGTC